TCTCCCTGGTCTGCTGGAGATGGTCCCCAGCAGACCAGAGGCACCGGGAGCAAAGCCGCAGCGGTGGCGGAGTCCCGCGCCTCCCCAGCTTTGTTCCACGTGTCCCTGGTCTGCTGGAGACGGTCCCCAGCAGACCAGGGGCACCCGGAGAAGCTTTTCTCGCCCCGGAGGTCGAGGTGGCAGGACCGCTGCGCTCTGGGCAGTCCCGCTGCCTGCAAGCTCCGGGGCGAGAAAGCCCCGTTCGTAAGTGCGGATCCAACGTAAGTCGGATCCGTGTAACTCGGGGACTGCCTGTACATGCTTTATACGCAAGGTGGAAATAAGAGGCCATGAAACTTATATTTCTTCCCCTTTGTAAAAACTGTTCAAAATTACATCTTTTGACACAAGAAGCTTTAATAGAATAATCTCAGTTAGTAATTAAGCTTACTATGGTATGGATCTCATCCTATAGGTTGGCAGTGGGAAAACTCAACCTAGGTTCTTCCCTTCTCATGCACAATTGACAGAAGTAAGAGAAATTGCCAGCCAAATTATGTCCTCGGTTACATCTAGGGAATCCTGTCTTATGATTATGCTCTCAGTTACACCAATGCATCTAAACACATGTTGGTGTTTAGATGGTGAGGCACATGTGTATTTGAGCAGATTCTTTCCTGCTGGTGTTTTCAATAGACTGAATTAAAAGAATAAAGTTTTAAGCTAGCAATGTAGGAGAAAGATGGGATGGCTAAGTACGATTCAAGGTAGTCGCTGTTAGCCATCCCATCTTTCTGCTAGGGGTACCAGGAGATGCACGGCATGGAGCCAGGCAGTAGAGGCTGCCTGCAGGAGCTGGCAGGGGCAGCCTGCTGGGGGTGTCCAGGAGCTGCGCAGTGCGGCACAGAGCCAGGTGACAGAGCATGCTTGCAGGAGCTTCGGCCACAGCATCAGCGCCTCCCTGGGAGTGGAGCCATGTAGTGCGGAGCTGGTGAGGGGGCTGGGAGCCATGTGGCATGAAGCCAGGTGGCAAAGTACGCCTGCAGGAGCTGGTGAGGGCTGCCGCGTTGGCACATGTGCAGCAGCTGGGTTGCGTTAGGTGCGTATGCAGGAGCAGCAAGTTGAAAATCCTATGACAGACAGACAAGAACGGTGGCCACTTAATAGAAAGATTGTCTAAAAAATCTTCATCCTGCTATCACCTGCTGCTGGGGGAAAAACAGCTACTCTCTTGTATTGTAATTGGAGTTTTGCAAGCTATGGGTGCAGACTTGTACTTCACTCAGGTGTGTGTGCACACGGAAGCCAGAAATCTTGTCCTAGCAGTAACTGTAGATGAAGTGCTCATGCTTCTGGCCCGTTAACCCTTCCCCAGGCTGTTCAAGGGCTCCAACCCCAATCAGTTCCTTCACACTGAGCATGAAATGTTAACACTCCAGTGTAGAGGACATAGAGTGGTTTGTGGAAGATATCTTTGTGCCCACATGTTGAAGAACAACTGTCACAGTCCAAGTAGGTAACCACTCTTCTTTGATTGTGTGCAAATGTGTATTTCACTCAGGGGACTCAGAAGCCAAGTTAGGGGGCAGAGTCTACTTATAGATGACTGCAACACTTGCCTTCCCCAAACTTGCATCTGATCTAGATGCAACACTAATAGCACAATAGTAAAAGAATGTGAGGCAGACCAAGAAGCTGCCCTGAAAATGTCCAATATCGAAACCATCATTGAGGAATTTGGTTAATATAGTTTGGGCACTTGGCAAATATGCTCACAGCTTCTGTGGAGGTGAAATCCAAGCTGTCCTACATGCCATTGTAATGCAGGATGTTATCCAGCTAGAAATGGCTTCTGCAGAAACTACCTGACCCTTCTTTGGAGCCACATAGGAAACAAAAGTCAAGGTGAGGAAAAAATGGATCAATTCTTTCCAAACAAAATGCCATGCATTATCTCACGTCCAAGGAATGAGGATGCTGTTTGTCTGCATTCTTGCATGGATCAGGAAAAACACAGATAAGTAGATTGTCTGGTTAAGATGAAACTTTGCTGCCACTTCAGATAAAAGCTTAGGATGTGTTCTCATGACCACCTTGTCTTTGCAAAACTGAGTATATGGTGGTTCTGCCATTAGGGCTTGCAGATCACTAACTCTCCTTGCCCAAGAAATGATCTTTTGGCATGGGAAAGGCAGAGACCAAGATGCAAAGGGCTCAGACAGAGGATCCATGAGGACACCCAGCACAGTGATAAGGTCCCACAATGGAATCCCTTCCTTCACTGGGGGAAAGGGAAGAATGACACCTTTCAAAAGTCTCATTACCATGGTGTCTGAGAAAACTGATTTCCCTTCGACTGGAGGAGAAAATGCAAAATCATCCCCAAGTGGACCACCAATTAACTGAGAGACAGACCAGAGAACTGAAGGTGTAACTGGCACTCCAGAAAGGCATTGCATTTAGTTGAATTCCCTGGCTAGAAACCTAATTGAAAATATTTTCATTTAGCCAAATAAGCAGCCCTACTAGAGGGAGTTCTACTATTAAATAATATGCCTTGCTTCCCAGGTTTTAAGACATGCACTTCATGCAAGGACACAATGCCTATTTTGGATGGGTATTCATAATGCATTCACTGTTTAGGTAAGTTTCACATTCCATAAAAGTACACTTACTGTAGCAACCTCAAAGCTTGAGTGAGAAGAGACAATGGTCTCCAACTCAAATTCATCTTACTAGAGAAATCTTGAATGCCCACTTCAGATCCTGGACATCCCTTGACAAGGGACTCTCTGGGAACATCTTTGGTAGACAGAGCTAGTGTTATTTCTTCTACAAAATGGAGGAAAAGAGCCACTTTCTTCCTAAGCATAGAATAGTAAAAAAAAGGTATCAGGAGGAAGGTCCTGCAGTAAGTGAAAAGAAGGTGCTAGGGAGGAGCTATGGGGAAGTGGCCCAAGGAATAATAGCTGTCATGCAGCTGATTCAGGAAACATTACAGACAGCTGCTATCCAGTGTCCCTGGGCGGGAACCCAGACTAGAGGGTGAGCCCAAGTTCCCCCAACTCCTTATTTCATAGACTCATAGGCTACTAGCACTGGAAAGGACCTTGAGAAGTCATCAAGTCCAGTCTCCTGCCCTCATGCCCTCAAGCACTATAGATCATCCCTGAGAGATGTCTATCCAACCTGCTTTTAAATATCTACAGCGATGAAGATTCCACCATCTCCCTAGGCAATTTATTCCAGTGCTTAACCACCCTGACAAGTAGGAAGTGTCTCCTAATGTCCAACCTAAACTCCCTTACTGCAGTTTAAGCCCATTTCTTCTTGTTTTATCAGAGACCAAGGAGAAGAATTTTTCT